CCAAATCCTAAACCCTGCAAACCCTAAACCCTAAACCCTAGTTGGGGGGTGCCATGTTGTCCGGGGCTCACGTTCGGACAAGAGGCTCTGCCTGCAGATTCGAAGTTGGGGCTTCGTGCCTTCTGGATAGCAAGGCGCGTCGGCCAGAAGAGTGTGGCGGGCCGTTATTAGGGTTTAGGGTTTAGGGTTTAGGGTTTAGGGTTTACGGTTTAGGGTTCGTTAGGATGTAGGTAGAGTAGGGTTTAGGATTATTATAGGGTCCTTAATAATTAGAATGGGGTTCTGGGGCCTATTATACTGTAGTTCATGATAAGGAACCCCGAAATAGTCTCGGTAATTATTTAGGCCCCTACATAAAGGGTCCCTGTTTATGAGACTCCAGTTCCTGGGATCCCTTGCGCGCTGCTCATCCTACCTGTCCCACCCGGCTACTGATCTGACTGCTTCCAGAGCGGGCGCTTTGCTGGGGTCGCTGTCTTCTTTTCTTTAAAGGTAAATGATGAGATTATTGCCACTACTACAATTAATATTATTAGTGTTATCGCCTAAACCCTAAACCCTAAACCCTAAACCAAAGCCTTTGGCTTTGGTCTTGAACCTGTCTTGTGTCTGATCTGACTTGACCGGCAGCTCCAACACCCGAAGCCACGAAGGCCCCGCTGTTTTTTTCTGTGCAAGGAGCTCGTAGAAGTCTTGTCCAACCCATGCTTGGAGGGGACTTAGTAAGGTTATAAGTCCCTTGGGGTTATAAGTATAGTTACCTTAGTTATAACCCTACTTACTAAGTCCCATGATCCTTTAAGTGATGAACCCCAACTAGAACGCTTGAGTAAGGGACCCTAGACACCCTGAACCTAATCCCAATCCCTACACTAACCCCAAATGCAAGCAATCTAACGCCCAAAGCGTAAGCCCCACCCATAAACCCCAAACCCGACCACGACCCTAAAGCACTACGCCCAGAGGGGCACTGGGGCGTGCCTCAAGCATGGAAAGTCTATAACAGATCATATCATAAACCCCTAAACTACCCGAATAGAAGCCTTATAGCCCTAAACCCTAAACCCTAAACTTAAACCCCTAAACTACCCGAATAGAAGCCTTATAGAACGCTTATAGAACCTCGAGCCGCCTTTTGTTTCAAGTTACGCTACATGCTTGCTGTTTTGATTAACGTAGGGGCCTTAATAATCAGAATAGGGTTTTGGGGTATATTATACTGAATAGATATAATAAGGAGCCCCGAAAATTTTAGGCAATAATTAAGGCCCCTATATTAGTCGTTAGGGCTTAGGCTTTCAGACCCTGTTGAAATCCCTGTGCAAAGGGGGCCTTGCGCCGTTCCATCGCCCGGACTGTTACCGCCTCTGCTTCGGCGGCGGCTGCGGCCCACCAGCGACCTCGGCAACTTGCTCGGAACGGAACTTTGAACTAGGCTTTTCTTAAGTAAGCGAAACAAGGAATAGGAAGATGTATGATAAGTACACATACATTGCATCGGAATAACAAAAACTGCGATAATCATTTTTATTTCTAATGAGCAACGGTAATGTAATTGGCCAAGAAGCTATGAGGATTCACGGCTTGGAGTTTAGTGTTTGTGCTGGGGGTGTATGAGCTTCACAGAGTTCTGGGTTCTATTCTGAGCTTCGGAGGGTTTACAGGGCTGGCAGACAGCTTGCTGGGTGGGGCCCGAAACGTTTGGGTCATCTGGTGGGCTTGTAGAGTTATAGGGGGGGTTGCACGAAGCTTCCAAAGTCTTTTAATGGATCAAACTTCTCCGAGCTTGGCAGCAGCAGGGTTTTGTCGGGTAAGGTTTTCTGAGTCAAATCAGCATTGCAGTGTACCTATCTAAGGATTCTGTGAAGAATAGTACTGCTATGTGTTGAGGCTTCTCTGTCAAGAAATGTGGTGTCGTCCGTAACCCCAAACCCCAAACCCTGAATTGTTGGGGATTTCAGGCTGTGCTCGGGGGCATAGTTAAGAAGAGGCTTGGGAACGTAGAGGATCTACGGCATGCTTAGGAATCTGGATCTCAGGAACTGCAAGAGTCCTAAACATAGACAAAACAAGCTTGTTTAAGAGGGATTCGATATGACCCTTTACGGCAGACCATAAATCGGATTCGACATGACTGCCTTTCCTTGGACCCGAAATGCTTTAGACTATGACTAAACGGAAATAGGAACAACCAGAAGTTAGAGCAGAAGCAAGCTTTGTCTGTTCAAGCACCCCAGGCAAAACACACACACACACACGCAGGTCCTGAACCGTACACGCCATACCCTAAACCCTAAACCCTAATTAAACCTCCCTAAACCCTAAACCCTAAACTCCCAACCTAAACCCTAACTAAACCCTAAATTTAAACCCTAAACCCCTAAACTCCAAACCCCAAAACCGAACCGGCTCAGGTCAACCTCTGCAACATTACACGTTACGAGGCGAAGCCTTCACACAGCTGTGTCCTTCTAGGGTCTAGGGTTTAGGGGTTTAGGGGTTCAGGGTTTAGCGGTTTAGGGGTTCAGGCTTTAGGGGTTTAGGGGTGTAGGGGTTTACGGGTTCAGGGGTTTAGGGGTTTAGGGTCTAACTTCACAGTTTCCGCTCCCTTTCGATGTGAAGAACCAAGACCCCTTCATGTGCGATTGAGGTCTCGTCTTTGGGCTAGAAGGCTCCAGGGCCTTTGGGTTTGGGGTTTAAGGCTTGTTTTTTTTTTTGCGGGGGG